CCTCCTCCTCCTCCTCCTCCTCCTCCTCCTCCTCCTCCTCCTCCTTCTCCCTCCTCCTGGCTCTCTTGGGGGAAAGATCTGGGGGCCCTCGGCGGGCCCGGGCACCGTCGCAGGACGACGTCGGGAGGAGAAGCCGGCGCCGGGGAAGGGGTGCCAGGGCCCTCCAAGGTCCATGCTGCGAGAAAACACACACACACAAACACACCACCCACACACAAACAACACAAACAAACACAATATATAATATATATATATAATATCATAAAAATAACACAGCACTTACATACACGACGCCCTGGGGGGGTCTGGGAACGGCGTGACGTCGTACACAGGGGAACAAGAAATGACATCGACATGACAACTCGGAGGTTCGCGCGGAGTTCTCGGATCGGCGCTGGCCCCCCCTCCATGGCGCGCGGAGCGCGCCAGGGGCGGCGCCGGAGGCGCCGCCGGGGGGCCCCAGCGCCGATCCGAGAAATCCGCGCGGACCTCCGAGTTTTTATGTTTATGTCATTTTTTGTTCCCCTAGAAAAAAAACATCACGACGCTGGGGGGGTCTGGGAACGGCGTGACGTCGTACACCCTCCCGTCGATCAGCAGCCACAGGTCGTCCTTCGAGTTGTGCCTCTGCACCTCCGCCCAGGGGATGCGCGCAACGTTCTGCGGGTTCAGGCGGTGCATCGTCTCCTCGACGACAGCGAGCAGCTGGTCGTGGCCGCAGAGCGAGGCAGCGCGCTGCAGCGTGCGCAGCCGCGTCACGTCGATGCCGGCCGGGCGGCGGAACACCTCCGCACCCAGGTGGGCCCGGGTCCTGTGCCTGAGGGCGACTGCTCCGTAGACGACCTTGGGCCCGGGTCCTGTGCCTGAGGGCGACTGCTCCGTAGACGACCTTTTGGCGGCGCGCGCAAGAGGGTAGGGGGAGGGGAGAGAGCTTCTGAACAGGAGGCTGCTTCTGAGAAAGCGCTGGCCTCACATCTATAGATGGGGCCCGCGCCTTCTAAGAAGCAGGGATGCTTCTAAGAAGCCAGAGCCCCCTCCCCCTGCCACCCTCTGCGCGTGGCCGAACCTTGTTGCTGGACAGCTTCTTGGTCCACCTGCCGAACCTCGCCTCCGTCGCGCGCTCGTCCTTGGGGGCGTCGCCGGCGCCCGCGGCCTGCGGGCTCATGGCGGGGCGCCGGTCGTACCAGTAGGTCAGCTGCGCCAGGGCCGCGAGGTCCACCCAGGGCAGCTTCAGCAGGGGCTCGGCATCCTCTGGGCGGGGTCCAGCCAACGAACACCTACGAAAAGCTTGCGTCGCGACGTTCGTGCACGACGGGGAGTGGCCGAGAGGTGGGGAGGGAGGAGGAGGAGGAGGAGGAGGAGGAGGAGGAGGGAGGAGGAGAAGGAGGAGGAGGAGGGAGGAGGAGGAGGAGGAGGAGGAGGAGGAGGAGGAGGCGAGGGGGAGGAGGAGGAGGAGGAGGAGGGGAGGAGGAGGAGGAGGAGGAGGAGGAGGAGCGAGGAGTAGGAGGAGGAGAGGAGGAGGGAGGAGGAGGAGGAGGAGGAGGAGGAGGAGGAGGAGGAGGAGGAGGAGGAGGAGGAGGAGGAGGATAGGGAGGAGGAGGAGGAGGAGGAGGAGGAGGGAGGAGGAGGGAGGAGGAGGGAGGAGGAGGAGGATGGGGGTACTGACCGAGACCGCCACTCCCCAGACCTCTCCCCGGGGTGAGTTCTGGCCAGAATGGCGGGGCGAACCTGGCCGTGGCGACGCAGGATCTCCCAGGAGGCCCCCTCGGGCAGGAGGTCGACTACAGAAGTCATGTAGCCCAGAATTCATGTGTGCGTCGAGTCTACACTTGTTTGGTGCTTGCGTTTCTCCGGGCAGCGGCCAACGATGACTAACAATCAATAGCAAAGCCTGGAAGGCAGTGAGGCTGTGTGGGTCTTTTCTGTGGCCCGGTCATCCCACAAAATAAGACACACACACACAGCGGCAGCAGAACGTTCGACAAAAGATGGGCGGCAAACCCCTCCTTCTGCTGCTCGCAAACTGGCACTGGAGTTACCGTGACGACTCTTGCCTGGGCAAATCTCGCCACGCGAGCAAGGGATAAACCCGCGAGTTTCGGCCCCAGGAGGACTACACAGTTTCGACACCAGGGAAAGGGGAGCAAGACAGAGAGGGGGGCAGGAGCAGAGAAACACTCCAAAACACCTGGAGCAGAGCTCCAGCCAATCGGCCACAGGCCGAGACCAAGCTCCGTGAGTGACCACCCAAACTAAAAATCCCGACGAGCAGGAACGGAGAGGAGGACAGGAGGGAGGGGGAGAGAGCGGCCACACCGAAGCACTCGGAAGCCCCCCACGAGTGCAGCTCCAGACGGAGCGAACCAAACAAACTGCCACGATGGCAGATGGTGGAGACGCGGCGGCGGCGGCGGCGGCAGCGGCCGTCGAATCTACAAGCAATGCGTAGAAGATTCTCGACCTCCGGGTGCACGGTTTCCCCTGGGGCCGTAGGCGGCCC